TAAACACAAAACCCCAAACACTTAAATTAGGTGAGCTAAATAACTGTTATCTGAAATACACAGAGAAACTGTCAACTGTCCATCAAACCCACCCACCCTTCCGCTCTCATTTTAAGCTTCTGAGGCCTAGGAGCATTTATAATTCTCCTACAAGTTCATACATTCCTTTAACACCTTGAACATTCCCTCTGGAACATATTCTCTGTGCTGGCTTGGGGTTTCCTTTCACTCAGCAATTTATAATGCTCTGACAACAAACTAAATGAGTGTGTCCTTCCTGAGCCCTACTCCAGTCAATCTGCCTGACTTTTCTGGTGCCATTGTTAATGCTGTTTAAATAAGTGAAGTGGGGTTGGAGAGATGACTCAGCAGTTAAGAACACTGGTTGTTCTTGCAGAAGACCCTGGTTCGAATCCCAGCACCCACATGGCAGCTAACAACTGTCCATAACTCCAGGCCCAGGGGATCTGCTAGCCTCTTCTGACCTCGAGGGCATTGCACGACATGGGTGCACTTACCTACATGCAGGCAATACACACATACACATAAAATTAAAAAAAAAAAAAAAAGTTTTAAATAAGTGAAGCTTCACAATGTGTGTCCTTAAAAAATTTTTTTTGAGGGGCTGGAGAGATGGCTCAACAGTTAAGAGCACTGACTGCTCTTGCAGAGGACCCAGGTTTGATTCCCAGCACCCACATGGCAGCTGCGAACCATCCTTAACTCCAGTTCCAAGGGCATCCAAAGCCCTCTCTGACCTCCATGGAATCGCATGACATGGGTGCACTCACATACATGCAGGCAATATACTCATACACATAAAATAAAAATAATAAAATAATTAAATTTTTTCTTTTGAAAGATTTATTTACTTTTATTTTATGTGTATGAGTGTTTTTGCCTGTATGTATTTACACCAGGTACGTGCAGTGCCCAATGAGGCCAGTGCCCAATGAGGTCAGATCCCCTGGAACTGGAGTTACAAAGTTGAGCCATTATGTGGGTGCTGGGAATCAGACCTGGTCCTCTGTAAGAGCAACAAGTGCTCTGAACCACTGAGTCATCTCTCCAGCCCCTACAATGTATATTTTGGGAAGTGATTTCAAGTTCAGAGGTATTTTATTGAAGATATGTAATTTTTAATTATGAATTCTTTAATAGAGAAAGAATACTTGAGCCAGGAATGGTGGTGCAAGTCTTTCTAGCCCTTGGGAAGCAGAAGCAGACAGATCTCTGTCAATTTGAGGTTAGCCTGGTTTACACTGCAAGTTCCAAGCCAACTGGGGCTATACAGTGAGACTCTGTCTTTTCCCAATCAGTAATTTCTGTATATCTATGTTTCCTTCTCAGGGATAGATAGAAGAGAATGCATACATCAGAGTTTAAGGCCACTCTCTCTCTCTCTCTGAACATCCACTGACTCATCTATACAATGGACGAAATACCAGGAGCTGCTGTCAGGAACCAGAATAGCAAAGCACAGAGAATGTCATGCCCATGGGAAGCATCTATCAGGTGCTGTAGGCCTCATCATTAGTCCTCCTATGGCTACCAGGATAGGCTCCCATCCCCATGGCCCTACCCTGATAGGGACAGGCACCTACTTTGGCACTGTGGGCAGAGACAGTAGTTGTAACATACGGTGTCCGGTTCTTCTGCAGCAGGTCGATGTAGACCTCAGCCCCATCCCCACCATGGACACGCAGCAGGCTGAGCAGCTCATTGACATCATGGTGAATCCGAAATTCACTCATGGCTTAGCTAAGACACACCATAACAATGTCCTAAAGAGAAGAGGGAAGCTGCTTATAAAATTAAAACCTAGGGCTGGAGAGAAGGCTCAGTGGTTAAGAGCACTGGCTGTTCTTACAGAAGACCTGGGTTCAAATTCCAGCATCTACATAGTGGCTAACATCCATCTGTATCTCCTGTTCCAAGGGATCTGATGCCCTCTTCTGTCCTCCTCAGGCACTGCACAACACGAATGTACTTACACACATGCAGGCATAACACTCATACACATAAAATAAAAATAAAAAATTAAAACTTGAATTCTTTTTTTTAAACATTTTATTTTTATTTTATGTGTATGAGTGCATTGCCTGCATGTATGTGAGTGCACCCATGTCATGCATTGCCATGGAGGTCAGAAGAGGGCTTCAGATTCCCCTGGAACTGGAGTTAAGGACGTTTTCAAGCCTTCAATAAAACACATCACTGCCCAGGCTACGTCAGCCACAAGCCTCTTCCCTTCCCTGGCAGTCTGCTCCTTCAGAGTGCTGCTAAGGTCAACCATCTTCACTGCATTCACCCATCTCTTGCTCCTCAGTGATAGAGAGCTTCCAGTTGGTCTCCAGCCCACACTACCACTTAGGGACCCAGCTGCACTAGATGAGCCACTGGAATAGACCCTCCAGGTCTAGTTCTCACTTCTGGTCCAGCCCATACCCATGTGACCCTGGACCAGCTGGGGGTAGCTCTGCTATTCCCTTCAGCTGCTGGACAAAGTTTTCTGGCCCTGGCTGGAGAGACATGCCAACTCTGCCCTTTGAGGGAGTTTGCACAGGCCTAGGCTACTGTCCCTATCCTCAGAGGCCATACCCAGTTCTTAAGCCTTGAACTGTTAGGTGACATTTCCATCCATACCTCTGTCTGACATTCTTTTTGTACTCTAAAACCTGGGATGTTTCCTTTTCTGGCTCAGGTATAGCTGGATGCAAAGGTACTTAGAGTTCCATACATTCCCCATGCCACTGGAGCTACCTGTACAGCTTTACTATACAGCTCAGTATGTCCCAGGACCAGCAGTACTAGTATCTAGCCATTGGCCACAAATAGCTGAAATCAAAACTATATCTGAGTCAGAAGGGGAGGACACACCTGTAATCCCATAATTTGAAAAGCTGAGGCAGGAGATTCACAAGTCAAAGCTAGCCTGGGCTATATGGCAAGATCCTATTTCAAAACCAAAATCAAACAAAACTATATTTGATGTCCCTAGTGAAGTGATTAAAAGAGGGAAGTGAAAAGGGGACTTTGGAGGCTCCTGGCTAGTTTTACAAACCGGCCTAGGAAAAAAACAAAAACAAAACCAAAAACAATTGTTTTACAACTGGCACAATATCAACAGCCCAAATACTTAAAAATTTTTTTTAAAAATTATTTTTATGTGCATGAGTGTTTTGTCTGCATGTATGCAGGTGCACCGGCATCATGCAATGCTCCTGGTAGTCAGAAAAGGACCTCAGAACCCCTGGAACTGGAGTTATGGAGGGTTATTTGCCGCAATGTGGGTGCTGGGAACCGAAGCCAGGTCCTCTCCAAGAGCAGCCAGTGCTCTTAACGCTGAGCCATCTCTCTAGGCCCCCATATGCTTTTTGAGACAGAAGGTCATGAGGGATGAAGTTTGTCACAGACCCAAAAGTAGCCAGTTAGAGATATGGCCACAAACCTTCATTTCCAGGACACAATGACAAGTATCTGTGTCAGTTAAAGAAACAGTGCCCTTTCTTCCTTGATTACATTCCTACTGGTAGGCCCTGCTCTGGGGTGAAGTACTGGGGAGGGGCGTTAAAGCCCCTAAGGTACCACATACACATCTCCATCGTCCTTTTCTTTAGGTTAGGGTTTCTTCCCACATCTGCCTCTCCTGCGTCAACCCTGAACAGCTGCAGGAGGTGAAGGAGACAGGCGAGCCGGGGCCAAAGGAGCCCGGGCGGCCGTCGGGGGCAGATGCCTAAAAGGACCGGCCTCTCTGCAGCCCGCAGGCCCACCAGGATTGCGTCCCGGGTCGCTGTTCCCGCACCCCGACCCCGCGCCGGCCCCCGCATCCCGCCCGTTCCGACCACCACCCAGACTCACCGACGCACTCCGAGTCCCGCCGCGCTCCTTGCCCCGCCCCGCCGGGTCGCCACAGGAAGTTCAAGACGTCACGTCCGACCCCGCCCCGCGGACGGTGGCCCATGGGCTGAGGTAGCGCCTAGTGATGCTGTTTCCCCCCGCGCTATGCGCCCGCCTAGCCGGGGCGCCCGGGGCGGCTGAGCCGCTGCCGGTAGAGCGGGACCCCACGGCTGGGGCGGCGCCCTTCCGGTTCGTGCCGCGCCCGGTGCGCTTCCCGCGGGATCACGAGTTCTTCGAGGTGCGTGAGAACAGCGGCAGAGGGTCTCCGGAGCCCGATCAGGCAGGCCCTAGGGCAGGACGGCCCGCTGTGGGCGGGGCCTGTAGGGAGGGCTGATGGAGTGGGCGGGGACAATGGGGAAGGGTGGGGGGGGTGCTGGACGTGGCCCAAGCTGTGGGGCGGGGTTGCGAGGCCCCGCTCCACCAACGGCGTGTGTCTCCTCTAGGATGGGGATGTGCAGCGGCACCTCTACCTGCAAGACGTGCTTACTCAGGTGTCCGAGGCTCCGGAGAAGTCCATGTGAGCAGCTTGGCCTCGCGGCCTTTGCCTTTGGCTGCTGGCGCTGCCTCTGGCTCCTCCCTCCCAGCTGCCTGCATCCTAGGACTCTAACCACCCTCCACCCCATGACTTCCTCAGTGATAGCCTCCTAGCATTATCCTGTCTGACCTCATTCTTGGCTTAGCTGGCTCCTCCTTCCCTGGCCTTTTGGTAGGGCTTGAGGTGGCAAGGGAAGCTCTGGAACTGTTTCAGGCTTCCCAACAGGAATCGGGGCAGGAAGTCTGACATGAGTTCCTGCCATCAGGGAATGTGTGCGGCCTTTCAAGAGACGCCTCCTTTCCCAGGGTTCCGGAGTTCACCTGTCAGGTGGCTGGCTGTTGCCAAGTGTTTGCTGCCCTAGAAGACTACCAGCATCACTACCACATGCTGCATGCGAACACCTGCTCCCTCTGCAGCCGTGCCTTTCCCTCTGGGCACTTGTTAGACATCCACATCCTGGAATGGCATGACTCCCTGTTCCAGATCCTGGCCCAGAGGCAGGACATGGTGGGTGCTGGCCTACTCTGGACACATCAGCAGTGGGAGTAGGAATTCTGGCTGGGTTAGGGCTGAGTGGAAGTGACACCTTGTCCTTTGTAGTACCAGTGTTTGGTCGAAGGCTGCCTAGAGAAGTTCAAGACCAGCCAAGACCGGAAGGATCACATGGTGAGGTTCCATCTGTACCCTGCAGATTTCCGGTTTGATAAGCCCAAGACAAGCAGAGGGTATGTGTGGGACCCAGTTGTGACTGCCTGGTACTTAGGTCTGGGAACAGACACTAGTCAAAACCTGACTTAGTATTTATGCATAGGTAGCTGGAACTCTGAGGACAGCAAGTTAGAACCCTCAGGTTATACACAGAGTGGTTTGCCTGTGAAAGGAGACAGGAAGGATGCAGGTGGGTGTTCATGTTGAGCTGAGCCGAGCCCATATGCATGTGCACATACCTGCACCTGTACATACATACACTAAATAAAAATTGTGTGGATTGGAGTCTCATTTTCCTCAAACAGCACACTTTGCTGTGTAAAACAAACTAAGTCTTCAGTGGTTCTTTCCATCCAAGGGCTCATCTCACAGAGAAAAATCCTACAGTACTGGATTGGCTCACTGGTATTGGGGACAAGAATCTGTACTCTACAGATAGTAAATCTCCTGAAAATACACTTGAGGCTGGGGATGCAACTCACTAGTAGAGTCCATTTCTAGTACCCACATCAGACTGGTTGGATGGCTCACAACTGCTTGTAACTCCAGCGCCAAGGGATCCAGTGTCTTCTGGCCTCCATGGGCACCAGTACACTTGTGGCAGATACACACATATACATAAATTAAGAAATAAAAATCAATATTTTGAAAATACTATTTTCAGAAGCTAGTGGGTGCTAGACATGGTTGTACATGCCTTTAATACTAGCACTAGGGAAACAGGCAGGAAGATCTCTGTGAGTTTAAGGCCAGCCTGGTCTACATAAGTAAGTTCCAGGCCAGCCAGGGCTACATAGTGAGACTCTGACTTAAAAAGCAGGGCTGGAGAGATGGCTCAGCAGTTAAGAGCACTGACTGATCATGCAGAGGACCCGGGTTTGATTTCCAGCACCCTCCTGGGGGCTAACAACTGCCCTTAACTCCAGTTCCGGGGGATCTGACACCCTCCTCTGACCTCCACAGAGGACATGCACATGTATACATGGTAGAATCATTATACTAAATTTATAAAATATTAGGCCTAGCTGTAAACACACAACCATGCCATAGTATTCTTCTAGAAGCTTGAAAATTTCACTGTAACATTAGGTTATGCCAAAACAGTAAGAAAACATCTTTTCAGGAAAAAGTATCTTCCTTGAAAGTTTAGTCTTGGGGGAGCCAAATAGAGGCACTGTTCAGTACTCTGTCTTCTGCAGCCCAGCCATGCCAGTTGCAGCAGACCTGTTAGCCAGAGCCCTACAGGATGATGGGGCTGCCATGGAAGTCTGCTCTGAACCCACTGCCCTGCCTCCCTGCACACGGACCTATAACCACAGGTCAGTGTGCCCATCTTCCTGAAATCATTCTCAGTATGTGCTATGATCCTGGGCTCTAAGAGAGGGTGGTATTGGGAAAGAGTATCAGTGTTACTGATGTTGATAGCCTGAATGTTGTGTCATGTGTGTGTCCCCCTGTCCTGTCCCCTCCATACACGCTTTGGCCCCTGAAACAGTATCCAAAGTCATGCAAACATTACTTCCTTCACTGTCATCTCTACTGGGTAAGAAGGCCCTTCTGCTGTTTTTGCCTGGCCGACTGTCTTTCTCTGACTCTGCTAAAGTTAACTTCAAATAATATTTTGGGAAAAAAATGGCCAGAGAATCCAAACTGGCAGGAAAATGGATATGTGTGTCCCTCAGTTGTCTTCCAGCAGCCACCTTCCCACAGCTGCCTGGACCTTGGTCTTTGTGTACCCTGCATGCCAGTGGTGATTAGGTTTCAGTGGCAGGGATAACAGGAAACCAGTGCCACAGAGACCTCAGCAGGAGCTGGCCTTGCTGGTTATGTTCTTCTGAGCAAGTGGGCAGTAATACCAGGATGATATCCCACAGGAAGCAAGTCTGAGACTGGTAGGGCCCAAGAGAGCAGTCTCTATTTCCTGAATATTCCACAGAGCAAAAGGAGAACATTCCAGAATATGAATATGAAGGGAACACAGACAAGCCTGCTATTATAAATTGGGTTATATGTTGTCAAAGATAATACCATTGTTTGATACGACCTTTTTTTCTGTTCCAGAATACCTTCTACTGTCTGTTTTGGCCAGGGTGCAACCAGAGGGTTTAAAAGCAGTAAGAAAAAAAATAAACACCACTGATGGACCCTGGTGAGGAAAGCCAGGCAGACTGGGGGTTGGGAAGGGGTACCAGGGACTTTCTCTTGCTCCTGGATAACTGCCCTGGGCCAGACCCTTGCCACCTCCTTGTTTTCATGAAGCAGCCAGTGCTTGTTATCAGAAACATCAGGGACCTGCACATTCCAGAAATAGCCAGGACACACTGCAGGAGTGAGATAGGGAGATAACCTTCCTGCTTCAGCAGGAGGTTAAGAATGATGTTTGTTGGGATGTTTCTACTCTTAAGAATGTCATTTTTAAATATATGAAATAAATATTTTTCACTGATGGTCTCTAGTCTCCTTTTTGTGTTTGTGAACCAGACAGAAAAGGGGATGATAGTGAGCTGTGAATATTCTGCTTTCAATATGAAGTTTTCAGGGAGATTCATGAAGAGTCTCAGCATCATCCCATAGGGGCTGTGAATGAGAGGTCCAGCATAGCCACAAGTGAGTCTAGGATCCTCATGCTTTTAGAGACATCCTTGCTGTCCTTGTGCTCCACCCAGCCAATAAACCCCACTGGGACTTGGCATCTGGAAGGGTACAGGAGGAAAGCCTGGAAGGAGTGTTGGAGACATGCTGCAGGGAGAGTGGAGCAAATGTGGGAGCTCACAGGAGTGCAGGTCTTACTGAAAGTAGAACTATCCCAAGAGAACAATGACCAACAAAACCTATCCTCCTTGGGACACTAGGCCTTGGGAGACCAGGCACAGGGGAGCCATCCACCAAAATGACCCATCCAGCCACAAACATCAATAACAAGCCCCAGAGTTGCTGCAATATTTTACTAATGTTAAATTTACAACACAACAGAAACTAGGTCTGAGAAGAAACAATGTACAAACCACATCCTGAAAGCAAAGGCAATAGAAGCTGCCTGTGAGGTGAGAATGCTAGGGCTGCCGGGAAAGACTCACAGCCATAATACACATGTTCACAGAACTAAGGGGGAAAGGAGCGTGATATCTCAGAGACCTTGAAAATTTAAAAACTAACAAAAGTGGGGCTGTAGAGATGGCTCGGTGGTTAAGAGCACTAACCTCTTACAGAGGACCCAGGTTTGAGTCCCAGCACCCACATGGGAGCTAACAACCATCTGAAACTCCAGTTCCAGGGAATCTGATGTTCTCTTCTGACCTCTGCAGGCATTGCATGAAAAGGTGCACTTACATACATACTCATACATTTACAATAAAATAAACTCACCAAAGGACTCACAAGGAGAGCTGAAGTGACAGAGGAAAGAATAAGTGAGCTTGACAGATTGGTTGATGCAAGTCAAAGAAGTGAGCAAAGTAAAAAAGCAGCTCTCCTCTATAATCATAACATGAGAAGGCTGAGGCAGGAACATTGCCAGGAGTTGAAGGCCAGCCTGGGCTGCAGAGTAAATCCCAGCTTTAAGAAGAGTGTGGGGAGGAATGGCATTTTTCGCAGAAAGAGAAAATGTAATTTAAAACTTCATATGGAAGCACAAAAGAATAATGCTAAAGGTAATTGCCGTATATACACGTTATATGACAAACCATAGTAATAACAAAACAGTATGGTAAAGACATGAAAGCAGACACAGACCAATAGAAGAAAATAGAGGGGATAGGAACAACCCCATGCAGCCACAGCCACCTAATCTTTGACAAAGGTGTCAAAAGCACATTGGAGAAAAGATAGGCTTAACACATATGGTGCTTGGGAAAGTTGATTTCACAGGTAGAATGAAACAATCCCTGACTCTCACTTCCACAAAAATCAATTCAAACTGGATCAAAGACCTTAATGTAACACCTGAAACTGAACTGCTAGGGGAAAACACTTCAAGATATAAGCACAGGCAAGAATTTTTCTGAAAAGGACTCCAATAGCTCAGGAAATAATTCAAAAACTGACAAATGAGATTACATAAAGTTTAAAAGCTGCATTGCCAAGAAAACAATTAGCAAGGCCAAGAGACAGTCTATAGAATGGAAGAAAAATCTTTGACAGCTATCTAATAGGTATTAATATACAGTATAGAAAAAAAATATTAAACACCAAAAGAATAAATAATCAATAATTGGACAAATAAATTGAACAGTTACTAGAAAAATGGTCAGCAAATATACAAAAAAGTGTTCAACATTCTTATCAAAGAAATGCAAACCCAAATTGCACTGAGATTCCATCTGACTTATGAGAATCACAATCAAGAAAATAAATGACAAAGCTGGAGAAATGCCGGGCGTGGTGGCACACACCTTTAATCCCAGCACTTGGGAGGCAGAGGCAGGTGGACCTCTGTGAGTTCAAGGCCAGCCTGGTCTACATAGTGAGTTCCAGGCCAGCTGGGGCTACAGGGAGGCCCTGTCTCAAAAAGACCGAAAAAAAAAAGCTGGAGAAATGACTCGGTGACTAAGAGTGCATTCTGATCTGACAAAGGATCTGAGTTTGGCTCCCAACACACACATCAGGCAGCTCACAACTACTTATAACTCTAGTTCAGGGGATTCAGTGCCCTCTTCTAACCTCTGAGGGCATCTGCTCTCATGTGCACATACCCTTGCACAGAAACACACATACACATACTTAAAAAAGTAAATATTGAAAAATTAATAACAGCAAAGTCTGGAGAGGATGTGAAGAAAAGGAATCTTTAACACTGTTGGTGGGAATGTAAGTTATTTTACTACAGAAATCAGTATGGCGGTGACTCAAAAACTAGCATAAGCCCTCCATTTCACTCCCCGGGATTTACATATAGGGGGACTATTTGGGAAAAGGGGACCTATGGGAAGGGGGGAGCAAGACAGGGTAATGGAGGTAGATAAAATACATTTTGTATATATGAAATGTAATGAAAACCATTGTTAAAGATTTTTAAAATGTCGATTGTGTGTGGTGTGGTGTGTGTGTGTGTGTGTGTGTGTGTGTGTGTGTGTGTGTGTGCATATGAGTGCAGGTGCCCAAGGAAGCCAGAGGTATGGATCTTCCTGGAGGAAGGATCCTTCCATGAAGTTTCAGGTGGTTGTGAATTGCCCATTGTGGTTGTTGAGAACTGAATTCAGGTCCTATGGAAGAGCAGAATGTGCTCTTAACCACTGAGCCATTTCTCTGTTCCACAGTATTTTGAACAATGAACATACACTAAAAATTATGAAAATTTTTTTCATACTTTTAAAAAGAAAAGAAGGGTGCTGGAGAAATGGCTCAGCAGTTAAGAGCACTGGCTGCTCTTGCAGAGAATCCAGGTTCAATTCCCAGCACCCCACATGGCAGCTAACAACTGGCTGTAACTCTAGTTTCAGGGGATCCAATGCCTTCTTCTCACCTCTGTAGGCATTGCATGGTATGAGCACACTTATATACATGCAAGCAAGTCACTCTTACAGGTAAAATAAAAATAAATAAAATATTTGTTTTTATTTTTATTTATTTATTTATTTTGTCTTTTTGAGACAGGGTCTCCCTGTAGCCCCAGCTGTCCTGGAACTCACTACGAAGACCAGGCTGGCCTAGAACTCACAAAGATTCACCTGCTTCTGCCTCCCAAGTGCTGAGATTAAAGGCGTGTGCCACCACGCCTGGCTATAAATAAAATATTTTTTAAAAAGAAAAACAGTAGGGCTGGAGAGATGGCTCAGCAGTTAAGAACACTGGTTGTTCTTGCAGAAGACGCGGGTTCGAATCCCAGCACCCACATGGCACCTAACAACTGTCTGTAACTCCAGTCCCAGGGGATCTGACAGCCTCTTCTGACTTCCGTGGGCATTGCATGACATGGGTGCACTTACCTACATGCGGGCAATACTCTCATGCAAATAGAAATAAGAAAATGAAAACAAAAACAAAAAAGCACGCCTTTAATCCCAGCACTTGGGAGGCAGAGGCAGGCGGATCTCTGTAAGTTCAAGGCCAGCCTGGTCTACATAGTAAGTTCCAGGCCAGCTGGGGCTACAGGGAGACCCTGTCTCAAAAAGGCCAAAAAGAAAAAAAGAAAAACAGTAAAAAGAAGAGAAAAACCAAATCCCACAAGCTTCTCTGAAAATAGACATCTAATCTATAAGTGATATATAGACTTCTCATTAGCAACAAAAATACAAAAATAGATAAATAAATATAAATAATAAAACCCACAAGCTGGGCTTGGTGGTGCAGACCTTTAATCCTAGCATCCAGGAGGCAGAGGAAGGAGGATCTCTGTGAGTTCAAGGCCAGTTTGGTCTGCATAGCAAGTTCCAGGCCAGCTGGGGCTCCAGGGAGACCCTGTCTCTAAAAAGACCCCCCCACACACAAAAAGAGAAAACACAAGAGAACAAGAGAAAATTGCCTTGCCAGGCATGGTGGTACACACTATTAATCCCAACATTAAGAAGGCTGGCAGATCTCTATGAGATCAACCCCAGCCTGGTCTACATACCAAGTTCCAGGTGAGCTGAAACAACAGGGAGACCCTGTCTCAGCCCACTCCCCCCACCTCTTCACCCCCATCCACCCCCATCCTCACCAAAAAAGAGAAAGAAGCTTGACAAACATTTTAAAATCCATGTAGAACTGCAAGAGACCCCTGGAAAGAGAAGAACCACAGGCAGAGAGCGCTAGGTAGGACCAGTCACTTCCTACTGAAATTTACTTCAAAGCCATGGTAACCAAGACAGCATGGTGCTGACACAAGATGGATATGCAAATCAATAGAACAGAGTGCAGAGTCCAAAAATAAACCACACATATATCATCATCTGACCATCCAATCAAGTAGAAAATCTGTTCAGCAAATGGCGTTGTGAGAACTGGACAGTCACATAAAAAAGAATGTAGAGTGATGGGTTACATCTGTATTCTTAGCACTTAGGAAACTGAGGCAGGCAGATCTCTGTGAGATCAAGGCCAGCCAGGCCTACATAGCGAGTTTCAGGCTAGCAGGGATCACAGGGAGTTCGTGTGTCAAAAAACAAAAAACAAGATTCAGAGTGGAAGCTCCTTGTATTAGTTAGGGTTCTCTAAAGAAACAGAACCGGTAGAATGAATATGTATAGGGATTTATCATCTTAGCTCACAGGATAGAGTCTGAGTTGTCCAACAATGGCTGCACCACACTGGAGAGGCTGAGAATCCGTAGTCGCTCAGTCCACAAGGCTGGATGTCTCAGTAGTCCCAATCTGGCGCTGAAGATCTGATAAATTCCAAAAGATCAGGTAGTCTTCAGTCTACAGCAGCAAGATGAACTCACCAGCGAGAGAGAAGGCAAGCAGCAAGAAGCCTGGTGGGCTCTTCTGCCTTGGTCTTTTATACCGGCTGCCATCAGAAGGTAACGCCC